AATCTTCCCAAGGCAGTCCAGTGCCAGGGAAACTTGTGCCAGGGCCAACCTCAGCAAGGACAAGCAGTGGCCAGCAGAGCCAGAGAATAGGACATGGCATTCCAAGGTGAAGCTCATCCCAAAGCAAAGCTCCCCCACGGCCATCAGGGTACCAAGTGTGTTCTGGGAGAAGTGTTCCCAGGGCTGGGGAGCAGAGCAGTCAGTGCCAGGGGGGACACCTGTGAGAGACACAACATGGAGCTGCAGAACGACCCCTCAGACACCTACTGAGGTGCTTGGGGTTGGGTCAGGAAGTCTCTGCTCAGAGAGCCCAGAAACCACACCCAGAGAAGAGCCAGGCTGACCTTGGGCTTTAGTGCAGATGCCCCAGCAATCCTAAACTTGGACCAGAGCAGCAAACCAGAGCTCAGCAAGAGAAGATGTCCCATTATCTCCATCCAAGAGACAGAGATGGGACAAGGCACAAAAGTGCCAGGAGATAAAGCACATCCACCCTAAATCCATGGTCCATCTGGGAGGCACAGCCAGAGGCAGGACTGGAGGCAAAGGCTCTGCAGCCCAGCTCAGGAGAAGGCTGAAGGCACAGGGCTGAGCTTCAGTGGGGCTCCTGGGATGAGGGAATGGGTGGGGGTCCTGGGTGAGGCTGAGCAGGGTCATTAAGGCCCATCAGTGCTCTCAGGGATCAGCAGTGGTCCTCCACCATCCCATTCCATCCCATTCCCGGGGCTGCATTCCAGAGGAAGGTGTTCCTTGGGGGGCACCCCCAGTTGCAGACCCCTAAAAGTGACCATCCCTGCTTTCCTCTGGCTCGTTCACACATGTGAAGCTCATGCTCAGCTTTCCATCCTCCCCAGAGGAGGGAAATGAGGGAAAAAGGAATGACATAAACAACGGAAAACCCAGTTGGAGCCCCAGGAGAGGGTCTGCCAGGCTGAGTCATTGCCCCTGGATGCAGCACCACTGGTTGAGACCTCAAATAACAGGGCTGGACAAGCCCAGGGGACAGCCCTGGTGTTTGCTGCCTGGGGCATGGAGCAGATGACCTAATGGGTCTTTCCTCCCTCTAATTCCTGAGTGCCTTGTGCCAGTGCCCTGCCAGGAGTCTGCTCAGGATCACAGCCCGTGCTCTTCAAACTCCAAACTGGAGAGGCTGCTCCATCCCAGCTGGAATCTCATCACAAAGGCTCTCTGCATTAAGGGATGGAAAAGCAGGGCTTTATCCTGGGACAGGGCTTTGCTGGCACCTCACGCCACTGACACCACCACAGGCATTCAAAACCAGACTGATGCTCCTCCACTCCCCCCCTGGCACCTCCCATTCCACCACCCTTTGCCCCTTAAAGGACATTTTCAGGCTTGGAGGTTGTGCCTGACCCTCTCTGCACCCAGGGCACCCACGGTGGCAACTCCATCTTTGTTTGGACTCTGCACATTGGCTGGGCAAGGTCAAGGACACCCTCACACAGCACGTTGTGTTTGCAGGACATCAACCCTCCAGCAGCTCTTCCTCCTCCTTCTCCTTCTATCCCACAACACCCAGAATCCCAGGGCAGCCACCCGTGTCCCCTCCTGTGCCACGTTTGCTCCCTGCTGTTCCCATTTCCCTCCTCTCCCCAGTAATTCCTTTTTAAGGGCACCTCCAGAAGCCACATGAGGTGAGGTTTAAGCCAGAGCAGAGCTCCCAGTGCCGATTATGCAACAGGATTTCCACCTCGGCCTCCCTGCTCCGGAGAGCAGAGACAATTTGGGTTGGACCCAGCGAGTGGAAGGGGACAGAGCCAAAAGCAGGAAGAAAAAGGCACATTTCTCACACAGAGGACCTCGTACCTATTAGAGGGAGAGAGTGAATGCAACCACCCACCCACAGAGGGGACAGAAAATCCCAGGGAAGCGAGAGCTTTTCAGAAGAAAGGGCTTAAGCTGGACACGTTGTTTCCGCAGGAAAAACGGGAGCACAGGTTTCTCCTGGAGCTCATTAGGCAGAGCTGCAGTTGTGCTGCCACTCCTTTGTGCCTGCCCAGCAGGGTGGGGTGAGGCTTTTGGGGACAAGGCCTGGCAAGGAGGAAGGGCTGCTGGAAGGCAAGGATGACCCCGGGTAAGGATACAGGGGAAAATAGGGCAAGTGGCAGGAAAAGAGTGTTTGGGAGGGGAGAAATGGGAGCAGGAAAGCAAAGAGTTTAAGGGCTGCTAAACCACAATGGGGGTGATGAAACCAGAGTGGCCACAGCAGTGGGAAAGGGGCACCTCAGCCTTCAGCTCCACCATCCTCATCTCTGCAAATCCCAACTGCCTGAGCCGGGAGCCAGCATAAAACCCTCACCCCATTAACTGGGAGAGAATGTTCACTGAGAGGCTGTTTCCTGCCCTTGGGAGGACACAGGAGGGGTCTGCAAATGTGGAGCAAATCAATATCCTGAAAGCTGAGAAAGGGGAGTCCAAAGCCCCTTGTGAAGGAGCACTGGGAAGGGCTGGGAGGGGAGCTCACAAGGGTGGACTGCTCTGTAGGGTTTGGTGGCCTGGCTTGGTTTGGTTTGGGGCTGGGATTTTTTAATAAGAAATCAGAAAAGAAGCCATTTCTAAACTTCCCAAGACATGTACTGAGAGATCACAGAACCATGAAATAGTTTGGGGTTGGAAGGGACCTTTAAAGGTCACCCAGTCCAACCTCACAGATCCCTCAGAGCTTCTCAACCATCTCCTTCCTGGGCAACCAGGAGAGTTCACCCACACCTCGAGCTCTTGGGCCTTAGGAAATGCTCTGGGAAGCCACAAGTCACTCCAGCCTTACCCATCCCTCACCCCCCAGGCCACACACACACGTGGCTGCATCTCCTATCCCCTCTTCTCCACACATCCCCCCCAGATCCTCCTTCCTCTGCTCTGGGCATTCATCTCCTGTCCCCTCCTGGACCACTGACAGCAAATGCTTTTGGGTTGAGCTCAAACCTTCACTCACTCAAGCCAAACATCGTGGCAGTGATGTTTTATCTACATTCAGGCATTAATGGGTTTAGCTGGAGGGTTATTTTTAACTGGTTTTCATTGAAACCTGTGCAAGTCCCCACACAGCCACTCCTCAACCTGTTCAAGTCAGTCTTGCAGCAATTAATTATTGAGTTACAGTGAATCAGCACAAACCAGATTTGGATTGCTCTGCAGTGTCTGACCAGTGGATTCATTTAAAAACAACTCAAAAGCATACCAGTAAAACTTGTGTGACTCTGAGTGGAGACAAGGCCCATAAACATTGGCCCTCAGTGTCAGTAACAAATAAGCTCCTCTTTGTTGCTCCATTGTCAAAGTAAATTAATAGCAAATTCTACAAATTATCACACTCCAGGGGCTTGTTTCCAGCACCAGCTTTCCAAGAGCCTCCCCCTCTGTGGTTTTGTTTTATAGAGTTGGAAGACACAAAAATAAATACACACAAAAGCCATGAAGGGCTGATCCTGGAAACCTCCTCTGGGTGGGAGGGACAGCCCACAGCACAGCTGGGCTTTGTGTCCCTGATTTTCCACATCCTCTTGTGCTGATCCTGGGATCATTTGGGTTGGAAAAGATCTCCAAGATCATCGAGTCCAAGCTGTGCCCAGACCCCACCTTGTCCCCCAGCCCAGAGCACTGAGTGCCACAGCCAGTCCTTCCTTGGACTCCACCACCTCCCTGGGTAGCCCATCCCAATGTTTAACAACCCTTTCCATGAAGAAATTCCTCCTGATGTCCAACCTGAACCTCTCCTGGCACAGCTTGAGGTTGTTTCCTCTCCTCCTGGAGAGCACACTCACGTTGGTGTGCACAACCCCCTTCCCCAAAACTTCCAAGAATTGTCTGGATTTGACAGACTCGAAGGTCAGGACCACAGGGAGGTCCCTCCAGCCCCCATCCCTGGCTCCAACAGGGGAGGAGAGGGCAGGAACAGAGCGAGTCTTTCCTGCTGTGTCCTCCCAGCTCCCTGCAGCTCAAGGATTTGCTGATCCAAAGGCAGTTCCACACTCACAGGGACTTGACCTCAAGTCTCTCCTGCCTTGGAGAGCACTGGAGGATATTCCTGCCCAGCTGCCCAAGAGATCCCTGGGCACACTGAGCTTTCATTCCCATCCTTTTGAGCTTTCAGGATGTTTTGTGGAGTCTTAAACCCCTCCCAAGGCAGGATGGGATGTGTTGGTAAAGCCTCAGGAACACGGTGAGGAGTAGGACAATGAGCTGTAGCCCCTCTGCAAGGCTCACCCATCATGGGAAGGGCAGGAGTTGGAAGGGTTTGATTTACCTCCAAACTCCCCTTTCTTCACCAAAAGGCAGGAGGATCAGCAAAACAAACACCAGAAGCAGCAAAACTGAAAAAGCAGAGGTGAGAGGGGCAGAAAGATCTCTGACAAGAGGAAATGCAGTCTCAGGGTTCTGGAAAAAAGCCAGAGTTTGATGGGAAATAAGTATTTTTTAAGAATACCTTGGTCCCCTTCTTCTCCATTCCAAGTTGATCTTCACAAATGTTTCTCCAGCTTAACCTCCCATTGTCTCAGAGAAGTTATTTTAAAGTCTGGCAGAGGCTCAGTCTGAGCTATTATTTCAGCAATGTTGAAAGTGTCTTGAGTGAGAAGGGAAGCAGTGGGGTCAGTGTTATCTGCTGCCGCAGACACACACATCTGGGACAGATTACAGCCCCAGAAAATCCAAATAAATACATCCCGGGCGCCCATCCTGGGAATTCCTCTCATTTCAGCAAATGCAGACTCCATGCACCCCAAAACTAAACCATCCCTCCAAACTCCCCCCTCTCCTGCTCCTTCCACCAGTGATGAATTCATTTGGTTTAGTCTGACAGGGATTTTAAACTGCACATGGAACGAGGCTGGAAAACTGAGCCTTAAACCTGATATCACTGGCAACGTGCAAGGCGAGGCAGCTCGGAGCTGATCCACCCAGATGTTAGTCAGGGCTGAAAGGCAACCAGAGAGGGTCTGATCGTGTGCCAGCAGCCATCTGTCACCCCCAGAACAAGCTCAGGCTGGCTCAGGATCTCTGAGCCTCCTGTTTGCCAAGTTATCATCAAAGTCTCCCAAAACCTGCAGGAAAGAGGCAGCAGGGGAGCAGTGAAAGGTCCTTTGTGCCTTC